TCTCTCTCTCTCTCTCTCTCTCTCTCTCTCTCTCTCTCTCTCTCTCTGGTTTTGAATTCTGAACTCGGATTGATTCTAACATGACTTTTCTTTTTTTGAACAGGGCCTCGGGAACCAATGTTGCTGCCATTGATAATAAAATTGAACAGGCAATGGTAAGTAATCCATTCACGACGGATCATACACAGTATATTGTTCTCTCGCTTTTTTTAAATTCAAAATGTATGAAGTAGGTATTCAGTTACATGGAAAGAGACATCAGAGAATCTATTCATGTGTACTGTACTATGGTGCTGAATTCAAGTCATTTGTGTTCACCTTTCCTCTTTATATTTTTGGCTATACCGACATCCAGCTCTCATGTCTGTCTTGACTTATTCTCATGTTCTCTTTAGATTCATGGAGTCTTTAATATACTCGAATGCACACATGTAGCCTTGCGCTTCCCTCTGATGTCCTTGTCTAGAACATGATAAATCGGCCTCCGTGTGACTCTGCTGCCTCCGGTCGGGTCTTTTTTTAATGTTGTTGCACATTTCCCGTCTCTTGCAGGACCTGGTGAAAAGCCATCTGATGTACGCGGTGCGTGAGGAGGTGGAGGTCTTAAAGGAGCAGATCAAGGAGCTGTTTGAGAGGAACTCTATGCTGGAGAAGGAGAACGCTGTGTTGAAATCTCTCGCCAACAGCGAGCAGCTGTCTCAGCTGCCCGCTCATTCGGCCACCAGCTCCGGCACCACGCCCCCCCAGCAAGGACTCAGCCAGCCTCAGCAGCAGGCCCAGCCTCAGCAGCAGGCCCAGCCTCAGCCTCAGCCGCAGTCACAGCAGCAGCAGCAGCAGCAGCAGCAGCAGCAGCAGCAGCAGCAGCAGCAGCAGCAGCAGCAGCAGCAGCAGCCCAAACCCCAGCAGCTCCAGACTCAGCTCGATCCCAGCCAACAACAAATGCAACCCAACGTCACCTCCGCTTGAAGTGCATCTGCCCTGCTTCGCAAAGGGCAGGAAAAAGAAAAAAGAGCATCTGCTCTACAACTTATTACAAATAGTCTATGTGAAATTAAAAAGAAGAAAAAAAAAAAATAACTTTGTCTTCTTCGCCACCAGCTTGACCACAAAGTACAGTGTGTGTGTGTGTGTGTGTGTGTGTGTGTGTGTGTGTGTGTGTGTGTGTGTGTGTGTGTGTGTGTGTGTGTGTGTGTGTGTGTGTGTGTAAGCAAGTGTGACTGAATTGGTGTTGGAATGTAAGTGTGTATGCATCTGTACTGTGGGCCTTTCCAGTGTTAATGCAATCATCGAGAGAGAGAGAGAGAGAGAGAGAGAGAGAAAGTGTGTGTAGAGACAGAGTATCAGGGAAGGTCGCGGTGTTTGTTTTCATCTTGCCGATGTTCCCGCAGCGGTTGACTGCTGGGTCCAAGCTCGGGGACCAGAATGTCTTTTCTTGGACCAGGCGCCGAGCCGGACCGGTTCACGACCTGACCTGAGACCTGCTCAAGCCGTGGGTGTGTTGGAAAGGGAGGGGCTTCAGCTCGCATAAGGGACGGACGGAGTGGTTGTCAAAAAGAGCGACTATTTTTTTAAATGAGATAATTGAGTGGGTGAAGGGGTATTTTTTTAGCCTTGCTGTTTCATGTCGTAAAGTAAGAAGAGGGGGAGAGAGAGAGAGAGTCTGTTCTTCGGAGCGCCACACCGCTGCCGTTACTGTCACATTAAGTCCAACTCTTGCATCGGTCTTTTGAGTTCTACTGTTGAGTGTCTTTATTTATTACAGGGCTGCTATTCTCATAAATGAACAAGTTCACAACACCTGTCTAACCGTAGCCCGGTGGCTTGTTTCCTCTTCTACAATGTTTCAACAGATTCTCCATTCGTCCCGGGGGCAACGCTTTAACATCGTAGGCAAAACAAAAAGAAAGAAATCTGACAAATGTTTAACACTAACTCAAATTATACGCTGCAATTGCCAATTCATAGCTCGTCAAGATCCAGTATGAATGTACGTTTATTTTTTTTTGTATAATAAAGTATTAAGAGCCTTGACGGGTGACACTTCAGCCGTTGACATCAAATCTTAATGTGAGCCTGCAGAATTTATTTGATGAAGATTAAATTCTGTTGGTTTCATCTAAAAGTGAATTAGTATTGCCATCACCCCCCTCCCCTCCTTCATTTTCTTTCTCCCAATGTTTGTCCTGAGGGGGATCAGGGGGGAAAGCTGTGAAATCATTCAACCTACTTTGTAACCAAAGATGCAAAGCTGTGTAAATTGATTATTTTTAAATGCACACATGTATTTCATTTCTTTTGTTACTTCCTTCTTCACAAACTATTTTGTTGCTGTTCAGCATGTTCTGCATGATCTGTAATCTTCAAACCACTTTCTTACCTCATTTTTATTCAGCACTCTTGTTGTGAGATAGTCTGTGAACAGTGTAAATGGGGCGAAATGATGCGGAGCAGAGAGAAAAATAACCTAGTGTGACTGACACTAGTCGCAGAAAAATGAAGTGAGCCATGTTTGTTCATTAAATGGTGTTTGAATTTCATATGCCAATAGTTTTGTTACATTGCAAATTTTAATGTATTTAAATAAAAGCAATATTCAGATTCCAAGATGTGTCAGTTTCATTTGATACAAAGTTCTATTAATACAATATACAGGTGCTGGTCATATAATTAGAATATCATCAAAAAGTTGATTTATTTCACTAATTCCATTCAAAAAGTGAAACTTGTCTATTATATTCATTCATTACACACAGACTGATATATTTCAAATGTTTATTTCTTTTAATTTTGATGATTATAACTGACAACTAAGGAAAATCCCAAATTCAGTATCTCAGAAAATTAGAATATTACTTAGAAATCTTGGCCAACTGAAAAGGATGAGCATGTACAGCACTCAATACTTAGTTGGGGCTCCTTTTGCCTGAATTACTGCAGCAATGCGGCGTGGCATGGAGTCGATCAGTCTGTGGCACTGCTCAGGTGTTATGAGAGCCCAGGTTGCTCTGATAGTGGCCTTCAGCTCTTCTGCATTGTTGGGTCTGGCATTTCGCATCATCCTCTTCACAATACCCCATAGATTTTCTATGGGGTTAAGGTCAGGCGAGTTTGCTGGCCAATTAAGAACAGGGATACCATGGTCCTTAAACCAGGTACTGGTTGCTTTGGCACTGTGTGCAGGTGCCAAGTCCTGTTGGAAAATGAAATCTGCATCTCCATGAAGTTGGTCAGCAGCAGGAAGCATGAAGTGCTCTAAAACTTCCTGGTATACGGCTGCATTGACCTTGGACCTCAGAAAACACAGTGGACCAACACCAGCAGATGACATGGCACCCCAAACCATCACTGACTGTGGAAACTTTACACTGGACCTCAAGCAACGTGGATTGTGTGTCTCTCCTCCCTTCCTCCAGACTCTGGGACCCTGATTTCCAAAGGAAATGCAAAATTTACTTTCATCAGAGAACATAACTTTGGACCACTCAGCAGCAGTCCAGTCCTTTTTGTCTTTAGCCCAGGCGAGACGCTTCAGACGCTGTCTGTTGTTTAAGAGTGGCTTGACACAAGGAATGCGACAGCTGAAACCCATGTGTCTCGCATACGTCTGTGCGTAGTGGTTCTTGAAGCAGACTCCAGCTGCAGTCCACTCTTTCTGAATCTCCCCCACATTTTTGAATCGGTTATTTCACAATCCTCTCCAGGGTGCGGTTATCCCTATTGCTTGTACACTTTTTTCTACCACATCTTTTCCTTCCCTTCGCCTCTCTATTAATGTGCTTGGACACAGAGCTCTGTGAACAGCCAGCCTCTTTTGCAATGACCTTTTGTGTCTTGCCCTCCTTGTGCAAGGTGTCAATGGTCGTCTTTTGGACAACTGTCAAGTCAGCAGTCTTCCCCATGATTGTGTAGCCTACAGAACTAGACTGAGAGACCATTTAAAGGCCTTTGCAGGTGTTTTGAGTTAATTAGCTGATTAGAGTGTGGCACCAGATGTCTTCAATATTGAGCCTTTTCACAATATTCTAATTTTCTGAGATACTGAATTTGGGATTTTCCTTAGTTGTCAGTTATAATCATCAAAATTAAAAGAACTAAACATTTGAAATATATCAGTCTGTGTGTAATGAATGAATATAATAGACAAGTTTCACTTTTTGAATGGAATTAGTGAAATAAATCAACTTTTTGATGATATTCTAATTATATGACCAGCACCTGTATTTTAGGAGCATTTGAAACATTTAACCATTCACTGGTAAACTACCTGGAAGCTGGACTTGCCCTGAATAAAAGCATTGGATCCTCTTTCTGTATCCTGTCAAAGCCAACAACCTACACCAGGTACAGATGCAGACATGTGTTGGTGAACTTTCTGGATACTTTTAAGTGCTTCTCAAAGAGGCAGGTGGTCGGTTCATGTTTGACAGCCAGATGGCACTGTTGTACTACGGGAGAAGGAGCGTTTCGGTGTCGGTGTGCTAAAAACTGAAGCTTTAGAGTTTACCGAATCTTTTAAGAGAAACTCATTTATTGAAGAAACATTACAAAACAATTCTAAAGAAGTTTTAGAACATACGTGCTACCCTAACCGATGCATAGCAGTTCTCTCTGAAAAGAAATACTCCCAAGCAGTGTTCATGATGCGTCAACAGTTCCAAGTCCAAAGGGGGATTAAAAACAAAAAGAAGCTCCCTCCTTCCCAGTATAGGACCTCCACGATACAGACAGTAGAGTACAATAACATGGAAAATGAATGGGGACTCACAACAAAGTCTTCCATTGACACACGCCTCACAGTTGTGCACGTTGTACTTGTGTCCCACTGTTGTCAGAGGGTCGCCCCACCCATCAGAGAGGTGGGGTTCACCGGGTGGGTCTGAGCCAGACTAACAGCCTTCTGAGGAATACTCGTCGGTCTTTATCGCCGGCTAACCAACGGTGACAAATCGGCTGCCTTTGCCGCTCTGTGCTGTGGTGGTGCGCTGATCTTTTAGGATGCGGAATCTCTCATTCAGGGTGATTGATGTTTGCTGTAGAAAGAGAAGGACACCAGAGAGTCGTTAAAACACTATTGAGCAATCTTATTGAGACGATGTGGGGAGCCAACACTCAAAAAAAGAAATGGTCCCCTGCCCGTTTATTAAAGCATACAGAAATATAAGTAGCATGCTCTCACCGGTTTCCCAACACTGTTGATGTCAAACTGCAGAGGCACTCCTTTTGGTATTTTCTTCTCCACTACTTCCATCTTCACCGGAGCAGGGATGGCTGCTGGGGGGTGCAGGGTCCAAGCAGAGGGAGGCCTACGGACGAGTCACACAGTCGGTCACTTGTGTCTGGTGGTGTTTAGTGTGACATGCATATTTACAAATTTCCTTGCGTGTGTAATACAATGCACAACTATATAGGCATTATTAAATATGAATAAACAAATGTTCTTAAAGAAAAGATTATGGTCTTTACTCGGGCTGAGTCATGGCTGTGGGGTTGTCAATTGAAACGGTCAAGATTCCACTGCTGGCTGTCGATGTGCACCACCTGGTGGATAAACAGGAAAGTTGTTTAGCATCACACGGACTATGAAATTGCAAAAAAGTCTCCTTTCCACTCCAAATGATAATTAGTGCGATTTCCTCTTCTTCCCACATGTCACTGAATAATAAAAGGCAATTAAGCGTTTTAAAAAAATAGAGCAAAATTAGACTGTGACCTCTAAAGATACTTACTGCCGAGTTCTGACTGGAGAACTGTGAGGATTTGTCTTCTGCACCTGGGCCTGGACCTGTGATACGGAGCCATGGACAAGAATAATAAACAAAGTGGTATACTTGCATTAATCTGGAGATAGATTTAGCTCTTAAAATGACCAGATAAACAGTAAATGCATTACATTTAGCAACTCTTGATGTCACACGTAGTAACCCATAATGTACCTTGAGTCCTCTGTGAAAAAGAAATGTTGCCTGGCGTGCTTCCCTCCGAGTCTGCTGGACAGGCGGCAGTGGTCTGCAGGAGGAGGAAAAAACACAGTATTGAAAAACAGCTGAGTATTTAGTGTGTTGTGTGTGCCGTATACAGTTAACCACAAAGTAACATGTTGATGAGTCTTCATTCCTCTACACCCATTTGAAATGAAACTACTTCCTAGATTACACCTCTTTAAACAGTGTTGTGTGTGACGACATCGCTGCAGACACGCTGACTTTGGGGTCTTACACTACAATACTCCGTGTTTTCAGAGAGAACTACACCTTAGCACAAGTGCACCGTATGACTGTGCAAAAGGTTTTGATAAAAGGTGTTCTCACCGCCGTCGCAGATGAAATGGTCTCCTGACCGGTGTTGCATTCTGTCCTCTCGGAGGATCCGGCTGCCTGTACGGCCGCCTCTGTACCTCTTGCTTCCTGTACGGGGCTTCGGTGCGTTGAATGAATGGCTTTGTTTTCTGTCTTGTTTTCTGAAAATGGAGGTGCGGTGAAGTACAGCTATATAACCAAAGACAAAACGTTTGAAAAGCTGCACCGCTTCTAAAAATAGACAGCAAGAGCCGACACATTTGTTCACGGCACTGTGGAACATAGGCGTCAGAAGCCAATCAGAATTGTAAGGCAGAGGATTAGTTAAAATCTGAAATCTCCTTTTCCACAAATTCTTTTAATATCTTTTCGTCAGAAATAAAACCGGATTTAAGAAAAATGACACTATGCTGAATCTATGAATTACTGCCTGAAATCAAGTGTGATGCAGCTCGACCTGAAAGTCACTTCATCATTAAACTCTTATAGGACAGGTAAGCTCAGTGAGTAACAGTACCTCAACACAATCAGCTTCTGCATACATCTGTAGAACTTCAGTGTGCAAGAGATCAAACGTGAATATGTGTATGCACTTGGAAAAATATAGAACAAGTAATGAATCTCCAAATGGGATGACATAACTGACTAATAAGTATGTAAAACATACTTTTAACAATAACTTGCACAAGTTTAACAGAAAATAAGAGAAAAACAATCAAGGATGCCGTGGTGGGCTAGTTTAAAATCACATCTGCTGAGATTCTGAGCCCTACTAGCCTTTAATAGATAATTATGGGATGATGGGACACAAGATGGAAAAGTTTCTAAGGTCGTCTGATGAAGACAACAGGATGTATAGGAGGGGCAGTGAGTTTGCGGTTTATGGATACAAAATGGTGATGTCTGTTGCCTCTTCTTTCTGTTAGGTTCTCTGAGCTTCGGTGTGTTTAACGTTCCTTTTTTATAAATTAAAGATGCGATATGTTTTATACCCGTCATTACAGCAGGGAAAAGGCTGTATGCCAACCTCACAAGGGTTAAACATCGATACCACTACACTTATTTTGCTTCTCTTTTAATACACACATGACACTTAATAATATACCTGTTTTAACCTTCTCTTTGTTTGTTTACCATATGTTAAATTGTCATACTACTCCACTGTGTTTTACTGTTGCACCAATCACCACGCAAGTTTCAGACAAACACCCAAGTCTACCAGGAGTAACATGTCCCTATATGTTTAGTGTGCACTACAGACCGTGCTCCATTACCTGGCTGACTGCTGCTGCTCTGTTGATCATGCCGACTCGTTTGAGCAGAGCCGCGGGCCTCCTGGCCGCGAGGCCTGTGATGACCCCTTGACCCCGTCGTCGCCCAGGTGGGGGGGGGACTCTTCTGTTTCTTAATTTAGGAGCTCCTCCTCGGGGCACGCCACCTCCTGGTAAAGATAATATCAGCGACATTACACATGTACAGAGTTGTTTTGACAGAATTTGACCACAGAAAGCGTTAAGCGCGCACACCTCTCTGGACGGGTCCAACAGTTCTCGATGCTCCCTTTCCTTGGGTCTTCTTGACTGGTCGACGGTTCACTGGGGCCTGTCTCCTTTGTATCTGTTGCTCCTTTTTGTTCAGCCGAATGATGTCATCTGTTACATTTAAAATCACACAAGCAAAGATAAGCAAAGTGCTCACATGAGATATATTTAGCTTAGCTACCAACTGACAAACCTCCCGACATGGACGTGCCTCCCACTCGTCAGTAGCTACCGTTAACGTCAGCTAACTGTAGTAACGTTACTCTAGTAACGTTTTCTGTTCGCTACCGAGGACCGTACCTAATGACATGTCGACTTTGTCGGGAACCACTGGTCGTCTCCTCCGGGCTGCTGTAACATTCCCGTTGTTCATACTTTAAACCGCGACAAACATACAAGACTGGTTAGCAGCCGTGCTAACTGTTCGTCCCTTTTAAGGCTAACGTTACGCTACAACAGACACACACACACAACTCCCACCCCGTACGTAAACGGCGCCGCGCAGGCGCTGTAGAGACATTCCATCTGCATTGTGGGAAATGTAGTAAGATACAACAAAAACAGTGTGTTACAAAACCTCATGTAACTGGTTGTGTAAAGAGAAACACGACGCTCGCTAACGTGTTTCTCACAACTTGACTGCTAGCCTTCGGTTAGCTATATTTGCAATAGCCCTTCCAGACATACTTCACGTTGTATTCATTGCATGTTGCTCTGCGTTTGGAGGAGGTACGTTATCTTCGTCGCACCGTTTGAGTGATACGCTTCTCTAGCCGTCGTCGTGGTGTTGCTAGCCGTCATCTGTTATTTAATATGTCTATAGTGTTTCTTGATTTATTCTGTCTCCCAACATGAGCTTGTTTTCGTCTTATTTTTGGTTGTCTGTTATGTTTTGCTAATGGACGCGTGTTATCTCCAGTCTTAACACCGTGTTGTTACTGTGGTTTACCTGCAGCACACCTTTCTCGTCTGAACCAAGGAGATTCTTGAGGCTTGTTGTCCACAGTGATCAGAGACCTACGTCGGTACTGTCCCCTCTGATCAAGTCACTCACCAGTCAGATCATCATGTCAGGCAAAAAACGCAAGTCCACATCCGCTGCTGCGAAACAGCCCAGTGCCAAGCAGCAGAAGTTGGCTCCCATGAAGGAGGAGAAGAGCAAGAGAGCTGGAGGCTGGCTGGAGGACCTTGTGAAGCAGCACAGGACAGAGAACAAGGAGGTGAAATTCAACAAAAAGCGCCTCCGCCTTATATCTGACACAACCCAGATAAAGCAGGACTCCAAGGGTGTCCTGTACTGGATGTTAAGAGACCACAGAGTGCAAGGTGAACACTTTAAAACAGCAAAACAGTAATTCAACAACAGACTTTTACTGGCTTGTATAACATGTTTTGTGTGTGTGATTCCCTCCATGTTGTAGACAATTGGGCGCTGGTCCATGCCCAGCAGCTTGCTTTGAAGAAGAACCTTCCTCTGCACGTCTGTGTCTGCCTGGTTGTCCCAAAATCAGAACTGTCCACTCTGAGACATTACAGCTTTATGCTGAAAGGTCTGGAAGAAGTTGCAAAGGTATTGACTTTATGTTTTATTTTTTAATGCACTGACTACAGCCATAAATTCAATCAGTGCATTAGTCACTCTGTTTATATTCACTTGCTTGACAGAAAAATCATACAATATAATGCATTTGTCCTGTTAGTACATCAACCAGATTAAGCAATACCACCAACCACTTGCAGGCTCTACAAAAATGCCTTGCTTTCTTTTTTTTTTAAAGTTAATTCAATTATAAAGTGAAGACATGGGGTTTTAAGATGATTAGAATCTGGCAACTTCCAGAAACACAATCTGGTCATTTGATATGGACATTTGTCATTTTTATTATTTTATTTGCCAATTAAACACCTACAACTTGTATGCTGTGTTCATTGTTAAAGTGGAAAGTAAAGTAAAAATGCCAAACAATCTTGTTCACGCTTCTCAAATCTAACAATTTCCTGTTTTTTTTAATTTTTTTTTTATTAAATCATATGGTTGGCCAAAACCATCAATTTGGAGACATAGCTTTCATTAATTGTGATAGGCATTTTGGACAGTAATGGGTTAGGTAAAATATGTTTTATAGAATCATCAATAATGGAAAATAATCAATATTTGCAGCTATAGTGAAGTGAGTTATAAAATCAATCAATCAATGGAAAAGTGACAGTTTAGCTGTAGTTACAGACAGTATGGGTACGGGTGATAGTTTAGGGGGCATTCAAAAGGAACATAAGTCAAATATATTCCGCACATGAGATCCAATTATTTGGCACTTTTACCCACAACCAGGTCTATTAAACTTCGTTGTTTTGCCCGAAACCAAACAGGAATGCAAAGCCTTGGACATCCAGTTCCACTTGCTGCACGGTTCAGCGGGGGACACCCTCCCTGGCTTTGTTTGTGACCGCGGCCTGGGGGCCGTGGTGACAGACTTCTCCCCCCTCAGAGACCCACTGCAGTGGTTGGAGGATGTTAAAAAGACTCTTCCAAAGGACATTCCCCTCATACAGGTAAACCCTCAAGAGAGGGAGAGAGTGTTGCTGTGATGTTCTGCATTCTGGATTTTATGCTGACGATAGATATTGTTGTTTGGTTTGTCTCCTGTCTTTCTCTGATTATTTCCTTGCTTTATTTCTTGTCCTTGTCACGTTTGTTCACAATTAAATACATATTTAAAATCATTTGATGTGCCCATGAGTGCTGTCGGTGTTTCTTCATTATCTGTTAAATGAGCGAAAGAACCAAATTTCCCCTTTTTACAGGTTGATGCCCACAATATTGTCCCCTGCTGGGTGGCATCCCCTAAGCTGGAGTATGCTGCCAGGACGATCAGAGGGAAAATCACAAAGCTGTTGCCGGAGTTCCTCACAGAGTTCCCTCTGGTAGAGAAACACTCCCACACCGCTACAAGAACGGCCAAAGTAAGTGCTGCAGTAACGGTGACGGGCATTATTCAAATTGTTCTGAATAAAAGTTAATATGCTATTTATGTTTTTCTGTCACATTCTGGACTTTTGGATCGGTTAAGACAACGGGATAATAATTTGTCTTTCCATAAAAGTATTCATTGCTTTGGAAGTGTTTTTCAAAAATCAATGGTTGCTGTCGGTGAGCTCATTGATGGGGAGTTTTGAAGTCGGATTGCTGCAATAAAGCATTTCATTTCAAGCCTCTCTTCTCCTCTGCACATAATTTATTGCTGAGTGAATATAAGCAGTCACAGTTTAAATTGACTTCCCACCTCTAGATATTAAAGCTGTGTGCTTTTACCGCAGTGCTGTGATTGATATGCAATTCACTTCCGAGCCTCCTGTAGCATAAACGAGGTGAAAGGATCACAACTGCGCCTCTTTTGAAGTTTGCAGTTCTACAAAACCAGAGTGTGTATTTGAGCTCATCGCTGTCAGCTGTGACCGCTGCTGATAGTTTTCTCCCACCTTCACCTTACAGCCAGTGGACTGGGACAAAACCCTGGCCTCCCTGCAGGTTGACCGAGCAATAGGAGAGACGGAGTGGGCACAGCCAGGCACCAAGGGAGGGTTGGCCATGTTGGAGTCCTTCATTGATGTACGCCTCAAACTGTTTGACACCAAACGCAACGACCCAAACGCTGCTGCCCTCAGCCAGCTGTCCCCCTGGATCCGCTTTGGTCAGTAGTACCATGAGAAATATTGTGGGTGTGAATTATTTTGAAGGGTGTTCCACAAGGATCAATATTGGTGCCCCTCAGACCTCTGTTTTTAATTTAAAGCTTGCTCTAAACTCCCAAAAAGACAAAATCTACACATTTCACATCAGCTTTCATGATCATACTTCGATCTGACTCATAATGGATGTACAATGGATACAGTACAGCATTATAAGCACTTACATACTGCAACTATTTAAACTAGATTCTTATACCAGAATAGAGCTTGTTCCACTTTTTATTTATTTGTTTTAAACAGAAAACACGTCCAATTGTTCTCTTTGATTAATTGCTCAAGACAGCTATCAAACTCATCACTGCAAGTTTTATGAAAAGGTTGGTTATCACTGACTCCCAGAAGGCGTACTTGTGTTTTCATTTACACCAGCTTGCTATTTAAGTTCACAGTGAATGACCCTGACACCAGATCACCATGTAGTTTAGCTTTAAAATGTACTCATACCATTGCCTTTCATTCTGTCCCGCTGTGTCTGCCTCTTTTAATCACCCTCTTCACCCATCTCTTCTTCATACTCCTCATCAGGCCACCTGTCAGCCCAGCGGGTGGCGATGCAGGTTCAGCGCAGTGGGAAGTCTGCAGGTCATTCTGTCGCCTCCTTCATCGAGGAGCTGGTTGTGCGCAGAGAGCTGACGGACAACTTCTGCTTCTACAACAAGAAATATGACAGCGTGGAGGGTCAGTTCAAATTTCTAAATTGATAGCTTGTAAATGATTCAGCTCCTGAAGTTGTCAGTTATATTTTTTGTTTTAAATGTGTTATGTATGTATGTGTGTGTGTGTGTGTGTGTGTGTGTGTGTGTGTGTGTGTGTGTGTGTTTGTGTTGCTCAGGTGCGTATGAGTGGGCTCAGAAGACCTTGAAAGATCATGCCAAAGACAAGAGGCCGTATGTCTACACGCGTGAGCAGCTGGAGAAATCAAAGACGCACGACAAACTCTGGAACGGTGCTCAGGTACCTTCTCATTCACATAAGCATTGCTCACCAGTCCGTGTTATTGTAAAAACGTAGTTTCTTACTGTTGTTTATGTCACATTTTCTCCATTAGTACCAGATGGTCACTGAGGGGAAGATGCATGGTTTCTTGAGGATGTACTGGGCCAAAAAGATTCTGGAGTGGACGTCCTCACCAGAGGAGGCCCTTTCAATTGCTCTATACCTGAACGATCGCTACGAGCTGGATGGCCAGGACCCCAATGGCTTTGTCGGTGAGGACAGAATAAATTCTCAGTTTGACGCTGATTCACTGAATATACTTGTCTCACACATTCATGCCCTCCCCACTGTGTGTCCCTCCTGTAGGTTGCATGTGGTCTATTTGCGGCATCCATGACCAGGGTTGGGGAGAGAGAGACGTTTTCGGAAAGATCCGCTACATGAACTACAAAGGCTGCCTGCGGAAGTTTGACGTCGCCGGATTTGAGAGAAAATACTGTCCCAAAAAGCTTTGAAGCATAAAAATGTTTGGAAGGATTAGAATACAATGCTGATGGCCTAAATCTCTTACATCTTTACCTCAGCGAGCATTTGTACAGTACAAACAACAGCAACTGTGCTGACGGAGCTAACTGTTTAACATGATCTGTGGTGCTTACTTATTAAGCTGAAAGAGCTACATCTTTACTTTGTTTTATGTTACTTTTATATTACTGTTTTAATTTAAGTAGTTTTTTACACAAAAGATGCCTTGTTTGATGTTCGTATTGCAACAACTGATTCCACGACTGTTCTTTTCGAGGATCTCTGAGGGTTGGAGTCTGTCCATGTTTTCATACCAAACCCTTTTCTGTTCACTTATGTCACAGTGTCTTTATTCATTAACAGTTCTCCAGCTATAAATGCAGCATATTTTGCCTTCTTACCAGACTTGTTTGGTTATTCTCCACTCAAAAGAATGCATCCACCCACAATCACTTTGAACTGATTATATTAACATTTAATTCATAATTAAGCATAGCTTAGCCACACTTTGAATATTGTTATCTACCAGCTATTAAAATAGTTCAGTGGCATTCAAAATAATTTAATCACATCTACACACAGACGAGCTGTTAACTAAGGAAAGCAACAACAAAAATTTGATTAGAGAAACTCGTGTTCCTCAATCCACAATGGGAAACAAAAAAGAAAGCTATGTACAGTGTTACATGTTTGTATTTGCAGGCGCCGGCTTAACTCACAGTTGTGTTGTAGAAACATGTTTACTGAGCACAGATGTAATTAAGCCCAGAAAAAAACACTTCTGCCCACATAATTAACTGTCCCCCATGTAGTGGATAAAAACAAGCCCCTTCAGGTAACTATGCACGTAACACAGTTTCACAAATTATAATGTGTAGCCGTCTCTATGATATCAGCCCTTTTGTTGTGTAATTTCAAGGGAAAGATATTTACGTCTCACACGGTTGTGCTTTCTTGCTAATTAGCTGAAACCAGTTGGTATGGTTACAGGGAAGGATAACATCACAGAGGGATGTTGGACCGTAATTTACAGGTTTAAGGCCATCATCAGTTAAACTGTTCCAAGTTTCTATCAAACTGAGTATTTACCTTCACATGCTGTTGTAGAAAGACTATCAGTTCTTATAAAAAGTTGTATTATGTGTGTTGCGTAAACCCATAAAGCAGTATATTGAATACAAATCATGTTTTAGCAGTCTATCAATAACAATGAATAACAATAGAAATGTCCAACAATAAATTCTTGCTTATAATAGAGAACACTGTGGACATATGAGCTGACAAGGACGTCCGTATTAGATGTACTTTTGCCACAACTGTAAACAGATGTGCAATGTATTTATTTTAAAGATTGTTTAATCCAGCGCTGAAACAATAAGCCCGCTGGAATACCAATATTTCACTTTAACAGAGAACATTACATCAGAACATCAGCATTGACTCAAAGAGGATCTTCAAGCTCTTTTGTTGGGCGACCACTGGCTGTGCTCCTTTATTAAATATATCATAGCAGAGTGACAGAAAACTACTTGAAGTCATAGCTTTGTAAGAATACACTCGCCACTCTTTGAACACTGAGGTTCAAGCTGCTGGCATGGTTATTGCAGCTCATATTGGTCTTCTGAAAAATGTGCATCCAAATCTCAAGGTTTCCCCAAATTACACTACACACATGAAGCTCTAGCGTTAGTTCAGTAATGAAGACTATAGTCTTGTATGCTTGTAGTTTACTTCTCATACATCTGCCATTCACTCCTCACGCATTATCTCCTTGCTGTCATTGTTCGAGGTCAGTCATGATAACAGCTGTTTAGATCAGCTGGTCTACTTTATTCAATAGCACAACGACACAACTACACCGTTAGGCTATCATCTTGCTGCTGTCTCTTTTTAAATATGACTCTCTACCTTCAGTATACGTTCACGCTGCTGTTACACGCCCCTCCACCCCCCCATCTCCGCCGAATCTTCGCAGATCCATCGGCTTCATCAACTCATCATTCTATCAGCCTCATCAGCCACCACCACCACCACCAGTGTCTGGACTCCACGGGGGGATTCAACTTGCTGCTGCTCAGGGCAGATGCCTCTCGATTACAAATATATACCTGTAGAGTCCAAGCGCCGAAGTCTCTGTCAAGACTTAATCATCACATATTATCTGTTAATAGTAAACAATTATCTTTTCTTCATTTAACTCGTCTCTCCTGATGAACTACTATTATCCCAGCTGTGTAATTTTACCAATCATGTGGCCTGTTCAGCCTGGAGCTTCTTCTCACTGAAACGCTTGTTCTAAGTTGTGTCTTTATTTCGCATATCACTTCAGTAGCACACTCACAAAGACATTTGTGCTAACAAACAGATTATTACAGGTAATGCTTTTTTTACCATGTTCACCAAATCAGTTTAGCATTTTATCACAAAGCTGAGGCTGATTGGTATCTTTATTTTTGCAGGTATTTAGTCATAAACGTAAGTATTGGGCATCATTTCAAATGTTACAACCGACAATTGCGCTAATAGTGAAGTAAAGGGTTCACTAAAAAGTTGCCAAATACAACAAGCAAGAGGAAAAGTCAAGGGATCAACAAAGGATTCATCCTCTGGGGACCATGACTGTCTGTACAAAATTTGATAGCAAATTACCTAATAGCTGTTGAAATATATAAGTCTTGACCAAAGTGGGACATTGTCGTGCCTGGGACCATGCCGCTAGCGTGGATATATATATTAAACAATGAGATATTGGATTATGTGAGTCGTGACTTTCTCCCGCTCTCCTGGGGGATTTGTCCCCCTTGACTTTGCGGGTGTACAAGTCATTTCAGCACAATCACACTTGTAGGTAACAGCAGTAGAATGCAATCACATCAGAACTCCTGTGCGCTGAGGTTTACCTGTCTTTTTGTGAAATAGCTTGCATATGTCTTGAGTGGAAAGTTAATCTCACCCACTAAGATTGGTTTAACAAGGAGAAAATGAAAACAGTGAAGCGCTGGCAGAGTTTAATCAATGTGCTGTTGATATTCCTTTTCCGTTTTATCTCCCAATATTTACAGTCTCCAAATTACTTATTGCTTAAACTGACGTTCACGGTAGTCTTGTAGGTATTATTTTCTGTAAGTATGAGAGCTCATTGCACCAGGTAGCCAGCTGACTAATGTTGTGGCTGTTGTGTACTGGTCTGTACAAGCAATGTACAGGAAGGAAGCAGAAAAAAAATGGTGTTCTTTACAACATCATTCACTGGTCAGGGTTCTTTATGAGAAAATCCATTCCGCACAGCATCACTTTTGCCCCAGAATCTGTGGTTATGCGTTAGCATTCAGGCTTTTTCTTCCAATAATTTTCCATCCATTCATTCTCCATCAGCCGTTCTGTTCAGGATCACCGGACGCGGAGGAGATGGCATGCACTATGCACGAGAACATGGAACACCCTATGCTGAGTTAATTAACCTAACTTACATGTCTTTGGACTGCGAGATGACACACACACACACACACACACACACACACACACACACACACACACA